CTGGAGGAAGAGAGGAGAGGCACAGAATCCACGTTGCTTGAAGTCCAGTGTAAAGTTTCCACAGTCAGTGGTTTGGGGTGCCATGCCATCTGCTGGTGTTGGTCCACTGTGTTTTCTGAGGTCCAAGGTCAACGCAGCGGTCTACCAGGAAGTTTTAGAGCACTTCATGCTTCCTGCTGCTGACCAGCTTTATGGAGATGCAGATTTCATTTTCCAACAGGACTTGGCACCTGTACACAGTGCCAAAGCTACCAGTACCTGGTTTAAGGACCACGGTATCCCTGTTCTTAATTGGCCAGCAAACTGGCCTGACCTTAACCCTATAGAAAATCTATGGGGTATTGTGAAGAGGAAGATGCGATACGCCAGACCCAACAATGCAGAAGAGCTGAAGGCCACTATCAGAGCAACCTGGGCTCTCATAACACCTGAGCAGTGCCACAGACTGATGGACTCCATGCCACGCCGCACTGCTGCAGTAATTCAGGCAAAAGGAGCCCCAACTAAGTATTGAGTGCTGTACATGGCTCATACTTTTCATGTTCATACTTTTCAGTTGGCCAACATTTCTAAAAATCCTTTTTTTGTATTGGTCTTAAGTAATATTCTAATTTTAGATACTGAATTTGGGATTTTCATTAGTTGTCAGTTTTAATCATCACAATTAAATGAAATAAACATTTGAAATATATCAGTCTGTGTGTAATGAATGAATATAATATCGAAGTTTCACTTTTTGAATGGAATTACTGAAATAAATCAACTTTTTGATTATATTCTAATTATATGACCAGCACCTGTAGTTGTCATAAATCAAAAATACAGGAAAAGTAAAAATCTGACCAGATGATTGCGCTGGATGAAAGTCAGAGGGTCACCAAAGTTATTACAAATTCATCCCAAATGTCTTGGTAATCTGTCCCATAATTGAGATACATCAGTGTTGACCACAGTGGTGGACTGACAGACATTCCCATCCCAAGAGTTGGCTAGCTACCTAAAAATATGTTATATTGGCATTAGCATTTAGAGGTTAATCAATAATAAAATTTTAACCACAACATGTGCTTTGCATGTTTGAGATAAATTTTGTGTTACGAGAACAAAGATATTTAGTGGAGCTCAGGTGGATTTCTGACTCCGCGTCAGGGTGTACCTTCAGTGGCGGTTCATGGTTCAGGCAATGGTTAGTCATGAAAGACTTTTAAGGGTCATAAATTCAGCCAAATCAACACCTACATCACGTGGGATCACATAGGGAGAATTGTGGAGCTGAGCCACTAGAAGTCTATTAACAATTTTAACTCCAAACTTGATATGAAATAAAAATGAGGCTCTTTTAAAACTGTCTCTATCAACTATTAATTGCTTTGTCCAGGGCAACAGACTGACATCATTCCACATGTGTTAATGTATAGGCCCTAATTCTAATTTTAAAAGAATTTTATCTCAGACCTTGTTACCAAGCCTGATGAGACCTTCCACCCTTTGAGTAAAGTCTTTCTGGCACTTTTTGATACCTTTGGTTTCAATCAGTTTGTGCATGAACCTATTCACTACAGTCGTTAATGATTGTGAGGTTTCTGCTCTGACTGTCTCTTCTGTCACATCTGTGGGGTCAGATCACTTGCACTTGTCCTGTAATGTTGGTGCTGATGTATTTACTATTAGCCACACTTGTCCGTCAATTTTTAACTGCACAAGCAATTGCTTGTGGTCTCTCGCTTAATCAGTAACAATAAATGCAATCCTTGATTTTACTGTCTGTTAGCTGCTCACCCTTTACGGCTCATAAATATTTTAGATTTCTTTCTGCAAAAAAAAAAAAAAGATGAGATTAGATACAAAACTAATTCCTTGATTGCCGATCCCAGCTGACATCGGGCGCAAGGCGGGGTACACCCTGGACAGATCGCCAGTCCATCGCAGACGACTTCAGCTCATAATTAATAAAATAGCACCACAGAAAAGCTTCAAAAGTCCTCTCAAATTACACGTTTTATACAGATAGTATTACAGGACTAATGTATTGCGTTGCATTAGTCTCGTTTTTCTGTTCATTGAGCGTAATTACCTTCTGCAAGCCTGATCGGGTTTGAGGTGCTTTTGATCTGGAAATGTAGAAAGTGATGTAAGGCTAAAAGAATATTTTGTGTTCATATGATATTATCTTTTTTTAAATATGATTTTTAAAATTCATACCGCGATAATGGCAAGATCCTTCTTGTTGACATAATGATGTCATACCGTTACACATAAACACCGCACTAACAAGCATGGCTGAAAGCGAAAGTAACACTGCTACTGGCTCCATGGTGGTGGTGTTAGCTCCCAAAAGGGGAGCATCTTCATTAGCTTCGAAGTGGTTTGTTTACAAAAGATCAGATGAACAGAAAAACAAATATGTAAGAAGTGCAAGAAGACTGTAAAAACAAGGGGGCAATAGAATAAAACCTATTTCGGATAGTTTTGATTTGGATCGTCGTATGACTATTTTTTAGTATTTTGTCATATCATTATCAATTTGTCCAAATTGTGGGTCTGAGGATAGGAGGTGTCGCTGATCATAAAGACTTGTGAAGCAAATTTATGTTTCCATAGTGGAGTGACAGGACTTGAAAAAGGCCCAGACTTAAGGCTTGGTTTCTTGCGTAGAAGTTTAAACAAAGTGGCAACTTCTGAGCTGAAAAATGAAGTTCCTCGAATGGCAACTTGAAGCTGGCTCCAAAGCGAGTTAATCACCATAGACCCTGATGTTTAAGTGCCCAACTTCACAGCAGAAATAAACATGTTTATAGCCTGGTACAAAAAAAAAAAAACATTTTTGTCTCTATAGCAAATTTCCGCATTCATGACAGGTGGTGCTGTCACAGGTGACAACCAGACCTCGTTGCCCAGTTCAGTGTAAGCACCCACATTAACCCCAAGTTTAGCTGCAGCAGTCAGCTGTGATAAACCCACCGAACACTTCCCGCCCAGACTACCAATCCTAGACAGACAAAGTTAGTGACTAAACCTGTGACAACCTGTGATCTCTTTCAAATCACTGCTTAAAACCCATTTTTATAGACGTGTTTTTATTACCTTAATTCTTTGTATTTGTATTTATTTTATAAACATGTTTTTATTGTATTTATGTCTGTTACCATTCTTTTCTTTCATCATCTTTTCGTCTTCTCCATACTATGTTTTTGCGTCTTTGGCTTTTGTTTGGTCCTACTGTCCGGCTTTCTGTTATATTGCCTTCAGGTTCTGCTTTTGCTTTTCCTGTCAAAGCACTCAAAAAAAAAAAAAAAGGTTTTAAAAAGGTGCTATTTAGTAGAAGACAATGTTTCCCCTATATTCATTCAGCAGCTGAGGTGCTGTGCCATGAATATAAAATCATTGTGGAAAGCTTCTATCTGATCTAGCTTTTCCAACTTTTGTACACCAATATATTTATAGTAATGGTCCAAAATTTTATTTAATTTAATATTTTCTTATTGGAAAACATACCATTTTCCTGAGGGGGGACTCCCAACCCACCCTAAACTTCATAGATAGATTTCCCAAACTGTTGCATAATCCAAGAACCTGATGTTGCAAAGACAGAATGAAACAAACTCAACGTCTTCACTGTGAGTCTGCTGTTTATCTTGTTACTGAACCCATTTTCTACAGAACGTGGAGGAAAATCCCTGAGCTGATGTCATGAAGCAATCTGCAAAAACATTCCAGATCCAAATCCATTTACAGCAAGAGCATATAACAACAAAACAACTCAAATTCAAAGTGATTGTGTCCAGAGCTTTCCCTTAATTTTAGAGAGCATTAAGTACAGTTGTCAACAAAGAGAGATTTGCTAAAGAACACGCAGTTGAAGGATCTTGTAAGAGTACAAAACAAACACGGGGGACTGGCAACAACCAAGTACAAGCAACACAAAAACCACAGTATAATCTGTCCCATTCAAAAAACATATGCTAGAAAAAATACAAGTATATGATATACTACAATTCTACACTATTATGTTAAACATTTCTGAAAACAGTGCATAGGTGAATAACAGACTTATCATTTAGTCAATTGAAAAAATTATATAGATTACATATAGGTTTGTTCGTAAGGTGGTACAGCCTCAAAATTTAGTAAGATTTGTTTACATGTCTGTCTCACGTGAATTAATGGTTTGTAATATGTTTGGCTACTGGGTAAGCTAATGCCAATTCCATCCATTTTATAGTCTAAACAATTTGTTTTTAAAAGTTAACAGATTCTAGGGCTGTGCATGATTCACCATTTTCCAAATCGCCTCTGAGTCACCAGTGTTGGTTGTGTGCCGACCTCTTTTCTTCACTAAACCTCACCTACAGTTATGAGAAATATATTATTCACGTCCTCCACGCAGTCACAGTACAGCTCAGCACACCTGCCCCACACTAAGGTCCTAAGAGTCTGTTTTACCTGTAACACTCACTGTGCGTAATCGTCACAGCTCAGTTCTAAACTATGCACAGAGGGCAGCACAGAGAGTCTCTCCTTAAGCTGACAGTCACCCACCCTAGACGGCAGTAGAGGAGATTGTAGCGTCTAGTTTGAAACATTCAGCACCGTAGTTAAGAACGTCAGAGTAGCAAACAGAAACGTGTTGGGCTGCCTTGTATTGCCATTAATTTTCTAAAGTTGCTCTGCGTACAAACACTCGGCTTAAAGTACAAAGATTCAACAAAATGAGATTCAACCCGGGGGTTACTTGACTGATGATTCAAATCATTGACTTTCATGGGACAGATGATTAAAATAATTACTTGCAAAATCCTACTTGGAACTAACCATCAGCCTGCTCACATTGTCCATTACAAACTAGTATGATAATTTAGCTGTTTAGTGTGTGAGCAACATGGCCAGACTGAATACTTGCTTGACATACTAGCAATCTTTGTGCTAAGCTAGAGTAACATTGCACAGAACATTTTGAGTATTCTTCAACAGCGAGAAAAATAGGGACTTTTTCTACTTACCGTGCCGCTTACTCTGACATCGTAAAGCCGTCCCCAGTCATCTTCATGGCTGTCCACCATCATCATACTATCATCTTCTTCCAGGAACCACTCAGCCTGCAGGTCAACCTTCACCTCCTCCCCCATTGAGTGCATTCCCACGGCGGGGAACAGCCCCTCTGCCGAGACGGGAACCTCCACTGAACCAACCTGCATAGGAGACAGAGGGATGTAAGGAAACAATGGGTGAAAAAAAACCAGAGACAACTGTTTACACACAGACAGTTAAAATAAAGCACTGCGTGTCATTCAGATTAAAAACACCTACCTCTTTGCCATTTTTGGTAAAAAAGACTGCTGTAAAGCCTGCTTCAATATTTTCTGAGTGTATTCCACAGCCAATGCGGTCACCACGAGCACACTTTGGTCCAAACTGCTGTCCCACAGGGTTGCCATTGTATAACCTAGGAAGAATGAAGAGATAAAAATATTTAGAACATAAATGCTAGTAAGTTGCTGCTGAAAGATAAGTAACTCAAAAAGCACATTTGATGAACCCTAAAGTTTTCCAGAACCAGTAATATATCATTTATGGAGCAAAAATGCTGAACACTCACAGGTTCCAGCTCCCCAATTATAAGGATTTGCTGCTTTCTTTGGGTTCTGGACTATTGGCCAGACAAAACAAGGTATTTTAAGATGTAACCTTGAGCTCTGAGATAATTGTGATTTACTATTTTATATTTTCTACTATATTTCTTTCTTACTACTATATATGTATAATAAATAAAATAAATAAAAATAAATGATAATGCAAAATTCAAAAATAAACAAACAAATGAAATATTAATGAAAATTATTGCTAGTTGACACCTTACAAACAATAATTAGGCATCAAAGTTTCAAAGCCATTATGCAAAATATAAATTGTGTGTGACCAGCAAGGTTTATGCAAAGAATCTGGTTTATTGCCAGGTACATTTTCACATACAAGGAATTTGCCTTGGTATAAATTGGTGCTTACAGTACACATGAACATAAATAGAAACATAAATATCTAAAATGTAAGGATGTCAAAAAATGTCCAAGTATACAAAAATTACAATAATACAATGCTGACAAGTATGTGCCAAAGTTCACAACGTGAGCATAAAGCACAGATGAGCGTTGTTGTAAAGTACAGGGACTACTGTTGCAATCATGTGTGGACGCAGCATCAACAGGCCACAATCCATTTTCTCAAACCATGCAAGAAACCAGGGCTGGACTGTACAGGATAGATGACTGTGGTTTGACTTACTTGCCGTTGTCAGCGTGGTAAGCTACAGAGTATGGCAGCCAGCCAGGCTGGTGGTCCAGCCTGTAGAATTTAGGCACCAGGCCCACAGCTATGGTCCCCCTCACTCCTGTGTCCACTATTGTCACCTGCAAACACACACACACACACAGTAACAACAACTGCAGCACCAGTTAGCTAGTCTAACTGACTGGTATTACTACATTCTGACAGTAAAAATACCACTAACAATTTCTATTACCGTGATTAACACCATTATCAGAGGGAACCGTGACCAACACACAAGACACCCGAGCCACAAGTCCATCGTTTTTTATGTTCTCACATTTTACCTTTTAACTATAAAACACAGCCATGAAATCTTAACATGAAGAAAAATATTAATGGTGCCTACAACCTAAGAGTTTGAAACAACCAACCTGTTTTTGTTGATTTTAGTGCATTTGATGTTAACGGTGGGCAACATGGCGTATAAATAATATTGCAATATTTTTAGGCTATATCTTGATATACACATTTTGGCTAAAATAACATACCGTACATTCTCAAATAGTGCAAACATGGTGACCTGAATACTTCTTAAACCGCAGCCTAACTGCACCTGTGTGTTACCTGCTGAGTCTTCCCCTTTAAGGAAGGCGGCCTTGTTGGTAACGTGTGAGCATGACAGAGTCTAGTGGTTTTGTTGTGAAAGCTGGTCTTTCCCGGTGTGTTAAGGGTAGTTACGTTACTTTAGTCAGCCATGAAGTGTGTAGATAAGCTCAGGTTGCAGTATAAAAGTTAGTGAAAGGCTGTGTGAAATTAAATAAAAAGTCAGTTTACCTAACACAAAAAAATTTTTAAATTTTAAATTAAAGTGACCCGTTTCTGCTGTTTTTCACCTCTCAACAGCGACCAGCAGAATCACGGACACCTCGCATATGATGATATGGTCAACTGCTATGTCGCACTTTATTGAATATTTGTAAATATTCGACATGTCACCCAGCCCTAGTAGGAGACAGGAGGAAACAATGGCACAGCTTTATGGAAGAAACAGATTATTTAACCCAACATCAAACTATAAATGTATAAATTATATCATCTCATCCCATTTTTCGTTTAAAAAAAAAATACATTAATATGTCTTACAAACTCGATATACTGCCAAATCTTATTTGATGTCCACAAAAGCAGTAATATAAAGTTCACTGTTCAGTTTGTTAACTTTAATTAAAAACCACACACTCACAGTGTGGAGTAATTGTACTATATTTAGCACTAATAGCAGTAAAAGCTTGGCGATTATCATTATAATACTGTTTACCGTGATGATCGTAGTATGAAAATGTTACATCGGCACATACCTATCCCCATCCTCCGATCAGACATAACGGCCTAACAGCCTGCTAGCTAAGCCCAATCAAAGCAAAATAACACACACACTACCAAGCAGAATTAGGCGAAAGGTAATGCAGGAAAGCACAGGACAATAGCCCCATCCGGAGTGAGTCTGTATTTGTTGCCTACCTTTGACAGTGACCTTTCTCACACCCTTTCTTCCTCTTCCCCATTCCTTGCATGTCTTTTTTCCACTTCCCCACTTATCTGCCTCGCTCATTCTCTACCTCCCTCTTCAGCCCAGACCCCCAAATCACTGCTCCTGCATGACGGCTATTAGCACATATGAAATCAAACTTCTTGGGTTTCCCTTACAAAAAATTCCAGGCCTGATTCCTCTCCTGTCTGGCGATTTACGGATACTACTCTAAACCCCTGCATCTGTGTCTATGTGTCTGTGTGAAATAAAAGTAAAAAAAAAACAAGCAAGATGATATGTGAGATTAGGAAAGAGCAAGAATGTGCACACTGATGTGCCGTTAAGTTATGTTGATATGAATTTTTGGAATAAATCTATTAAAACAAGAGGAACGCTGCAGATGTTCAGCTGGGCTTGAAGAAGACAGATGACGAAAACTGGAGAAAGTGCAGCAGCAGCAGCAACGACAGAGGTGAAATGGATTCCTTGTGAAAGCAGAACGAGGAGAAACACGAGGACAGCGGTGACGCATACGTCGACAGAGGCCTGACCTTTATGAGGATAAACGTTCCCAAGTTTTAAAAGATATCTGGGAAACTGACAGCGTGTGCGTCACAGAGTGGGGAATAATGTACCATATAACTTTGGGTAATGACTGCACTAAAATCCACTTGTTAATTTGTTGTCAGAGAGATCCAACAGGCTCCAAATGTTATTCGGAATTTAAATATAAACAGTTTTATCTTTAAGCCTTTCTTGCTGGGGAGGAACGAGAGGGATACAGAGGTCAGATGGGACATCACATTTAAAAGAAATGTCACATCTGGCACAAATCTGGGACACCTCACAGCCATGATAAATAATGTCAACGCACATTGTCAGCCTGTTTTAAATCTTAGTGAAGCAGATCTGAAATGTTTCAACATATGTCCAAAATGGTGCGTCTCATCTCAAAAAGAAATAAAATTGAAATGAAATAGTGGAAGACGTAAATCATTGACATGAGAGCTCGCTATGGCTACAGGACTCTTGATGCGGCATGGTCCTGTCTGGCTCTATTTGTAGGTCAGCAGAATGACGCAAGTTCAAAGGATAATGTATAGCCTAATGTTTCCTCCTGAAGCCTAAAACCCCAGACATGGGGGGTATGGCTGCTTCACCTGCTGTCTCTAAACCACACGTCACAAGGTCTACAAACAAGCTAGCTCATAAATAACACACTGCAGCCCTCTGCACCTTATTTATTACTGAACTCCTGCAACTTTCCTGCGCTAAATCTCCAAAATACTTTTTCCTCATACTTTTCTGTATGTATGAGAACTATTATAACAGCATGGCATCTCAGATTTGTTAAAAAAAAAGCCTGCTGCCAGTCTGCCTGCTGAAAAACACTGTATTAGACTAATCTCTGTGCTCAAAGATACCACCTAACCCACACCCTATCCACTCATTCCAATGCAGCTAGGACATTTTTGAGGTAGTGGTTTTGCACTGGTGAACTGGGACTGTAGGGGGGCACTCAGAATTTAATATGAAGTGGAGAAAATTGTCAGCAAGGGGATTCCAGGGGATAAAATTGCTGGCTGGATGGTAAAGCAATCTTGGGCACACACAGGGACGATGGTATGTGGTAAATCATATTGTGAATAACACCCCCTAACATTTCAAAATGAATAATTGTGCAAAGGAACAACAGCCTACTTATTTTCTAATGATTACCATACATCTTTAAAAAAAGTAGATAAACAAAAATTGGGGGACAGCAACACAGTTAGAGGTAGCAGTTGGTGGCGATTACATTCAGTTCTTGCAACTCAGTCGCAATAACAACATCAGATGCCGACTTACAGTATCACTATCAATTGCTTACCTCAAAGTAGCAATTTCCCTTTGATAAAGGATGGCCAGCCACATAGCAACCCACCTCTTCAGAGTTCCCTTGGTAACTAAAGAGAAGAAATTACAGGTTAACAATAGGTGACTTCTAATAGGTCAGACTGCTGTATGCACAATCAGACACACAACCTCATCTTTTGATCTAAAGGCTGCCAGGACACCAGCAGTAGAATCACATGCACCGACATGTGCAACAGAAATGAGACATAAATATGTTACCAATTATTAACAATTATGAGACAATGAAAGCTGATTTAGAACAGCTGTTTAGCCAGATGATTAGAGCAACATATATCTAATTACATGCACATGATTATTGGGTGTTACTGTTTAATACGACATGACGTCCACCAGCTTTATATAACAAGGGAAAAGATGTTAGACACAGAGAATCTGAAGAATCACTGGAGTTTCTGAAGTTTTGCATTGGAAGTGTGTTGAATGTTTCACATAGCACTAAGCAGGTGAATCAAATGCCAACATCTTCTGAATAAGAAGGAATCACTTTCTCCAGTTATTAATATAGAACAAAACAACATGCCAGGTTTGGGCTTCTGAGTTTTACAGCAGAACAAAAACTGTTATCTAAACTAAACTAATTACCAAAGCTTCTTTTCCAGTATTGATAGCGTATATTTTTGAGAAACTACTGTGCCTTTCATGATATGCTGACCTATAAACAAGCCACCATTGAAAAATTATTTTTACTAGGTAAGAAATAGATCTGTTTGGGTTTATTAATGTGGAAGGCAAAACAAATACAGACACTACATGCTATGCTCCTCAAGCTTTCTACCGCTGTTGTGAGTCAGTGACATACCGCCCCCAAACCTTTCCCTGAATACAAACATTACATTTTTTTTAGAAAACAGATGACAGAATACAATATGTTATTTTAATAGGCCAGAACTCCTAGCTAGGAATGTACCGATCCAATACCTCATATTGTATCTGTGTACTGACCTTGTTTAATTTAGGAACAAAAGAGGGCACCTGTATTCTTAGAATAAAGACATGTGCGCCATAAAAATAGGGATGCACCAATCTGACTTCTCAGTCCCGATACGGATACCAATACCAGGGCTTTGGGTGTCGGCCAACGCAGAGTATCGATCTGACGGCAGTGTAAAATTAATAAGCTTTTCTTCACTGTGAGGAAAAGATTGGGAGTCATTATTTTATTTGTAAGGCAACATCAGGCTTCCTAACTTTGTAAAACAAAATGTATGTTAGCTCTCCTAGCAAAATGTTCGGGTCTACCGGCGCACTGCTAACACATTAAGTAGTATGCACGTAACTGAATTGAATCAATCAGCCTCCTTGTCACGATACCTGATCTAGTTATTTAGTCAGTATCTGGCTGATCAGTATCTACATAAGAATGATAACAAAAGAAACCAACACAACAGAGAAAATATCTTAAAATGTGTAATAAACCCACTATAGCACACAAAGTTTGCTATAGTGTCATTATAAAAAGTGTCCCCCGACAAAATTGCACAAAGCAACACAATCACTTCAGTTCAATTCCCATTTGGGAAAAGTGAAGAACAGGCTGACCTGAGTCTGTCTCCATCCTTCTGCAATCTCATATATCGTTCCTGAGCTGGGCGCCCATCCCCAATATCTCTGATTCGACGCCTCAAATTCAGGAGACATCTGTGCTGTAGTACGTTGATGTCATCCATCTGAAAGGAGAAAATGGAACAGTGTTAAAAATCTCCACAGTACCATAAGTTCAGCAGGCTGTGCAATGTTAGCTGTGCTGGCACCAATACTATGTACCAACTGAGGCTGCACAAAATATTGCTTCAGCATTGTCATCGCAATGTGCCCGTGCGCAACAGTCACATCGCAGGACATGCAATGTCAAGCAAGTCTCGAGCAAGAACTCGGTTCTTATTATGGCTAATCTCCAAAAGAAGTCTGATTTTATATAATTTACTCCGATTTAAGGGTTCTTGGATAGACTGGGTTTGCTGCTTCTGAGTGACAAGCAGGCCTGCGATCATAATATTCTTCTTTATCAGTTCATCAATCAACCAAAGCAGGCCCTGCCCTTTTTAGTTGTCAACAAAAACTAAATAAGTGAGGAACAGGATAAAAACACCGAAACAGTGGACAAAAAGAAAAGCAACTTTTGTAAACTTTACCATTCTGTTTAAAATATGTTAACTGCGTTAAAGCTGAAGAAAGAATAGTTTGCACTCAAAAAAAGCCTTCAGAATACAAATCTGAATTTCATCTTATATGCTTTTCCCTTACAAAATCACCCCAATATATCTAGGATGCTTAATTGTTTTCAAATTGAGTCATCTGCTGAAAATTCCTGTGTTTTTTCATAGCACAATGTATATATCACAGAAAAGAAGAATACTGCAATATGGTACAACCCTGGTACCAACTCCTCTGTGTGCTCCTCATTCTTCTATACAATAGTTGCTTGATCATTTCTGATAAGCACATACTCTCATACATTCTCTGCACAAGGGCTTTTGTTTATCTTGTAATATCAAGATGTGGCCATAAAGAGGGGACTGAGGCACATTCAAAATATCATTAGCAGGAAGCATTGTAATTTTATTTTTTCCGCACTGAAAAAATATTTTTGATGTTTTAATCCTGCGGTTTTTCACACAAAGTAAGACTACAGAAGATTAGCGGTTTATCATAGACAGTAGGATACCATCTACTCTTGTAGTCAAGTTCCCAGCTCACTTCATTTGAAGGTGCTGGCTTCATGGTAACGGTGCCTTTAAGCGCAAGAGACATGCAGACTATGGCAACATAAAATCATATTTTAGATCACTGGTTCCCAAACTTTTTCAGCTCAAGACCCAAAAGAGAAATCTGGTGTCTCCCTGGGACCCAAATTTACAAAAACACATCTACATTTACAAACTGCAGATAAAGGGCAAAATAAACCATGTATAAAGTAAACAAATGGTCTATTCTCATGTCTCACCCCTTTCTCTACTCTCACTTTTGTATCCTCTCCCATCATCACCAACATGTCGACATGACCTGAATTTAATGACAAATATGTGGCTCGTTGAAGTTTTCAACCAGTTTTTCAGGTATGATAGAGTTGAAAACCCAGATTGGAAGTATGTTGTGCTATATTAATTCTTCTTTGCAAAGACAGAAAAAGTTGGACTTTTGCACATAGAACAAATTTTTCATTTGAAGATACCTGTCCAATTTATTCATTTTAAAACGCTAATTACTGAGCACTTCCCCACATTACACATTACAGAATGTGGACAGAAGATCAAGTTGGGAAGAATATAGAGAGAAAAACGCACACGGCATCTGAGCTGAATGGACGAGTAGCAAAAAAATAACATTCATTCACATATTTACATATTGTAAAATTGTTTTTGGCGACCCAATAAAAATGGGCCTGCAACCCAAGTTTGGGAAATATGGTTTTAGATAAATAAAAACCAAGGACAGAAGATTTCAACAACAGGAAAACCATTTCAACTGATACATTCAGCGTAATACTGCAGTGACACAACATGTGGTACAACAGTCAGCTCCAGAAGTGATTAGTGTAAAACAAATATCTGTAATGCCATCTACACTCACCGGCCACTTTATTAGGTACACCTGTTCAATTGCTTGTTAACACAAATAGCTAATCAGCCATTCACATGGCAGCAACTCAATGCATTTAGACAAGTAGACATGGTCAACTTGATGAAGTTCAAACAGAGCATCAGAATAGGGAAGAAAGGAGATTTAAGTGACTTTGAACGTGGCATGGTTCTTGGTGCCAAACAGGCTGGTCTGAGTATTTCAGAAACTGCTGATCTACTGAGATTTTCACGCACAACCATCTCAAGGGTTTACAGAGAATGGTCCGAAAAAGAGGAAATATCTAGTGAGCGGCACTTGTGTGGACGAAAAATTCCTCGTTGATGTCAGAGGTCAAACGAAAATGGACAGACTGGTTTGAGATTATAGAAAGGCAACAGTAACTCAAATAACCACTCGTTACAACCATGTCAACATGGACCAAAGTCTCTGAGGAATGTTTCCAACACCTTGTTGAAAGTATGTCACGAAGAATTAAGGCAGATCTGAAGGCAAAAGGGGGTCCAACCTGGTACTAGCAAGGCATATTTATAAAGTGGCCAGTGAGCATTTGTAGTCTGTTGAAACTTCTAATATAAATATATTTGTTTACTAAATTTACAAAATGGGCTTTTGGTAAAGCAAATAACTAATACATTTAGGAGTGCAACTAACTAGCCTATTACTTTTTCAATTAAAGGGATTAATTGCTTGAAGTTGAAAATGTCCATCACTGTATCCTAAAGCCCGAGGTGACATCATCAAATGCATACTTTGTTCATCAAACAGTCCAAACCCTTATTATATTCCGTTTACAATCACATATGGCAAAGAAATGAAGCATATCCTCACAATTAAGAAGCTAAAACTAGGGAACATTTGGCATTTTGCTTGACTAATCGATTAATCAACTTATTATTTATGCTCTAGATACATTATTTAAAAAGGCATAAATAACCAGTTTGAATAATTATATGCAAGTTCATATCTGAATGAATCTAGTACAAAACTGACAAACATATGCTGTTCATATTATTACCTGTAGGAGGTTAATTCAATTTTTACAATGCATGTTCCTGAGCCATTTGTTGTTATTAAGAAACACAATATACATAAGCCATAACCCACTTACAGGCTATAAGCTTGTACCGTGTAACTTGGACCCTCATTTTCACACTTTCCCTCTATCTTAATGTATACAGTGCATTATGAGCTTTAACAATTTCTATCTTGAAAGGTTATCTGAGCTTTTGTACATTACCACTACTCTCATTTGTCATTCATACATGGTTTGATAATGAACTGATCAGCACCCATGTTGTGATGAGGGGATGAAAGAAAGTCACATATAAACAATAAAAAACAAAATATATCTTACACTGAAAATGTCTGGCTTTTTGACATGCAGTAACATATTCTCCTGAGTTTCCACTGGTTGTTCTCAGTTCTCTCTCTCACACACACACACACACACAGATCTGCCATAATCAATAGACGCACTGATTTTTTAGCTTGGGGTGTCGTTCAGTGACGTTCAGTGACGTTATAATAATAATAACGCAGCAAACACGTCAAACTTCCACATCGTGTCCCATTTTTTTCCCCCCCTCCTTCAAACCCCAATTAGATATTTTTCACCCAAATGGCTGTAACTAATAAAGCGGTCCAACGTTTAATAACATTAAAAGAGAAAATGTGAAGCTGCCGCAGCGAAAGGAAAGTGGGCGTGCCAGTGTTTACATGTAACGCCGTCAAGGTCCGCCACAACCAGCCACAGAGCTAACGACAGAGCTAATTTAAGCTAAGATAGATTGAACGTGCAGGCAGGTAACTGCTGCCATATAAACTGAAAATAGTAGCGGTGGTTCTCAACAAATAAGACTTTAAAATAGTAGTCAGTTGGCGACGAGGGGTTAATGTATAGTCGCAAAGCTAAACAGGGGCTAGCTTCATTAGCGGCTAATGCGATAGCTTCTTCGCTTGAAGGTGAGGTTCGGTGCTTAGCAAGAGGATGAAGAGAGGCTGTTCCCGACAGTGGAGGGCAGAACAACGATGCGTTATAGGTGTCATGATCGATTAGTCAATCGCTTACCTGTTATCTATGTGGCCACTAAGACAGAAACTCACTTTTGTCCATCAGCTGTCCATAGCTCCAATTAAAACTTTGGAAAGTAGAGTTCGGCGCTTTCCAGTGACATCACACCCTCGTTACTGAAGCAGCCAATCGTATCGCGTTTTGAGAAATGGTGACAAGCATGCAGCCAATCCCATCTCTTGGATTTTGTGCGCGTGCTTATGTGTTTGTGTCCTACTTTGATTTTGGGCCCAATATGCCACATTTACCCACATTTAATAAAATGAGGAAAATATTAGCTGGATCTCACTATGAAGAGAAACCACAAGCCACTTTATGGACCCATCTTGTTTCACTAGGTCTGGTGAGTAGCAGCACAGTCTGCCTTCTGTTGATAGTGTGACCCTAAACTGAAGTATCACTACCAAAATCTTGGAAGAAGTTAGGTGTGAAGCTTAACAGAAGGTCAGGGGCACACTACTCAACAGGGCTGAGCAGCGTCCCACCACAGGGTGTGTGTGGACTCTGGTTTGCTATGTCTGAGCCAGCTGGGATAGACCTGAGCTGGGGAGGCAGAGAGGAGGAAAAAGCTGTGGCTGCAGGAGGAAAAATGAGCTACCGAGGGCAATGTGGAAAAGAGAGCTCCCGTCATCTGGCGTGTGTCTTGGAACATTCTCCTGATATGTGGAAACAGACTGACGCTGTAGCTCGTGAGCTGATGGGAACACAAGACGGCAGGTGATTTCTGCCCTATGTGCCAAGATTAATCAGAACAACTGGCTGCTGATGGCAAAGTAGTTTTTAGCGTCATGTTGCGCTGAATTCCAACAGTACAGGCCAGTGGGTATGTCGATGTGCTCTGTCATGTCTGTACTACTCCTGCAAGAGCAAATTACCCAGTGCCAGGTAAACTGCACACGGCACATTTAGTGTGTGCGTAAATGTCCTGCACACAAGCTTGTGTTAAAGAGTCAGCATTGTTGAATTAATATCCAAATTCTGTTTCGGCTATGTGAAATTCTCGTTTATTTTATTTTTTTTGGTATCATGTTCATGTTGCGTCTGTCCACAGAGCAGCCAAGGCAGCAAGGCAATGTCAGATAACGCAGGAGACAGTGGTACTCTAGATAAGAGAGGAATTCCTCAACACTCTGCACTATCACCAACCTCTACCGACGATCTTCATGTGCATATCTTGACATTGCTTTCAATTTCTCTGTTTATACATCCTGTATGTGCATACATATTCTTGCAGTACCATAATGTGCTGCGTGTGATAGTAGAGCATCGTTACTCTGTTGCAAAAATAGAATAATAACTGAATACTTTGCTCAAATAGATTTGCTGATCCCTTAAATTTTTACTGTGGTTACAATATAAGACAAATTATTCAGGTAAAAGTAAAAGTACCTTTTTATCTAATCACAAAAAGGCTTACACAAAAGTGCAGACTTTATAAACTACTCATAATCAGAGGTTGGAGAATACTTCAAAGGCCACTGAATTATTTTAAGTGCAGGAGTTGCAAATAGAAAGGTGAAAGAATTATGCTTTGTATTTTTTAGTATAACAACATAATTTATATACACGAAATAACCTGTATTCATTAACCAGAATACCTTTCAGACGTGACCGTGAACGTTTTATCGTGGCAGGAATGGCAGGAACAAGTGTTGGTGATCTTTTGAAGATGGAAAATCCTAACTGGCTGAGTGGAGCAATGGATTACATTATTAGCAGTTTGGCTCGGGCTGGTCGATGTGCATTCCTCCAAAAGTGAGCCCCCCCCCCCCTCCTCCTCCTAATTATCCAGATGATTACACTTCCAATTCAGACAACTGGTGAACAACTGCCATCACTGCCCTCATACTTCAACATGTATTTGGCCCATGAAGTCACTTTATTAAAGTGATTAAGAAGTTTCTTATTAAAGACTAGGTTAACCTTGTAGAGGGAATGCATTACATATCTGACTCAGCAGTGATTTGATTATGCTGATGCCCAGTTTTAGTTAGTGTGTGCTAGAAATCTCACATCACTATGTTAACCATTTCTTCAATGTTTGATTTATTTTGCATATAACTCCAATTCATTAAACATTCTCTAAATGTTGATGTGTGCTACACGTTTCCAAAATTTGACAAAAAGAGAGAGTATTTTGGGGGTAGAACTCATTTTTGTACAGGATATTCTATCTGTCATAAACTCAAACAGAATCCAAGCAGGAGAAATCATATAACTGTGCATTTATTGTTGCAAATGGAATTGCAGTGGCGAGGCTGATGGCTGCACATATACATATGTATTTGTTACCATGGCAAATGTACCAGAAAGTGCAAATATCTGAACATGAGTACTACACTTTATGCATTTGTAATGTTGAGCACAAGTGTAAGAAGAAGGGCTAGATGCATGTGTTGGTATATAACAGGAAAGGGTGGGGAGATTTTGATAATTTCTGAAAGGAACATAATCCACCCCCCACTTTCTCTCTCCCTCCCTGCCACCTCCCTCTCTCCCTCCCTCTCTCTCTCTCTGAGTCCCAGCCCCTGAAGGTGTCATAACTGTGCTCTCTCCCTCTCGCTCTCTCTCTCCCTCTCCCTCACTCACTCACTCACTCTCTATCACCGCCTTTCAGATCTTTAAAAGCTGGTGCTTTGCTGTGTCTCTCTCGATCTCCATTTGTCTCCTCTGGCACTGCAGGGGACTCACCCGGCAAAACACCAAGGAAAGCTACTGTATAGAAACGGGAAGAAGACTGAGGAAAGGGGAGAGAAAGGGAGAGAGAAGGGAAAATATACATCCAGAAATAGCATCAGCCACATTTAACTGACAGAAAGTGACAGAGAGGACAACTTGAGACCTGGACAGAAAATGCCTATTCTTTCTAACTTAACAACCGTTGTTTTATTGCTGATTGCACAGTGCGGATCATGGACCGGGGCAAACCGTTTGGGCCCCTTCAAGGTCTGTCCCTCCTGCAGGGATCCACTGGGGGCAGGTCGGCCCCCCAGGGACCATAATGTTGCTGGCAGCACATCAGTGTTGGCCCAGGGAGAGCCCTGTGGTGTGTACACCCTGAGCTGTGCCAAGGGGCTCCGCTGTGTTCCCCCAGCAAGGGAGCACAGCCCCCTCCAGGCTCTGTTGCAGGGAAGGGGCATTTGCGCCAAGCACAGCAGGACTAGTCCCACTGAGAGGCCCCACCCCACAGGTAAGATAATGTATATACACACACACACGTGCATGAAATCACATATGCACACATGCATGCATGCTTCTACAAATGCACACAGACACATGCGTGGACACTGCAGGTAGGCTGGCCATCAGCCACCACACATAATTGTACTTACAGTGTATCTCCTGTATTGCTGTGAATAGCATGTGATGCTGTGTCACTCGCCAGCATAAAGAAAGGCCAATTAGTGTGTGACATTTAAGCCTGGATGCATTTTGTGCACCATAGATGAATTTGCAAACCTCTGGCATCCAGTGCTGCTCAGCAGTGCCTCTGGAGTCACTGATAAAAATGTAATTTGTCAAACATTATTGTAAAGGACTTTGATTTGTTAATCAGAAATGATGGCAATTCACAAAAAACAGGGACCTTTTATTTAGTCCTGGGGTGTTGCAACAGTGTATAAGTAAAGATGCATATCCCTGCATTTATATAACTTGTACAGTGTTGTGTATTTCTTTAATTTCAATGACAGGTGCATGACAATGATCTGTCCTACAAGTCAGCCTCTCTGTAGAGAATTTCGAATGCATGTGAAACTGTCACAGTGTCACCTAGATTCTGATCAAGCTGCTTTTTATTGCAGTGATCTCCATCTACTGTTCAAACTGAGATACTGCGATTAAGTATATGGAAAGGAAATATACTGATGGAAATTAGGTCTCTCATTGAATGACCAACCCAGATAGATCTCATCTGACAGACTGCTTAATAATGTCTTGTGCAAAAATATAGAAACATAGATACCAAAGTTGAAATATTATAAATGCAGCATATACTGTAAAATGTGACATTGGATGTGGTTTGATGTTAATGGCTACGATGGTTTAATGTCACATTCTCATGCTAGTGTGTCATTTCCTCTCAGGTCCTCATCCCTCACACAGTGGTGACATTGAAAGAGTAAGTTCATGCTCGTATTTTACAGTTGAATTGAATTTACAGTTGATTGAAGCTAATGGATCATCATCTAAATTATCAACATTCTGAGATGTATAAAGCATTTTATATAAGATATTGTTAATACACATCATATGTCGTGGACAGGGTCGTATATCGAGCTGCACTATATTATAGAGAGTTATTACCATAGATCCTCTGCTGTTTGGGGTGTTGCAGTGGCATGTACACACAGTGCCCTGAAGCCATGCATTATGGTGCATGATGTGTGTGCTGCTATGCGGCAGAACTAATTGAGCATGATGTGAATCAGGAAAGTTTCAAGTCGGCCGCTGCCGCCAGAGATTTTTCACTTTGCGAGCCGGGTGATCTGCAGCATTTGAACTAATATGTATGTTATCATGGTTACAACAATAGTCACATAGCTGATCAAGATGACACAGTTTAATTTCACAAAAACGCACAGTCACTTCAAATCATTCAGTGACCTGAAAAGCCAAAGCATTGTGTAACAATATGATTATATAATGTTTTACAATATGTGACATCTGATATATATATAAATACACATCATCTCTGCTTCTGGCTCTAATGCTGTATCACTGTAGCTAATTCTTAGTGATTCACATTGATATGTGTTGTGATCAAAGAAGATTTCGTACAACACAATCACCTGAGGAGAGGTAGCAGCTTGCCACTGTCACTCTTTAAATGAAGACAGGTCCTGTCTATTTGCCTCTAATGATGTTTGAAGTCACACTCTGCATTGCTGTTTTCAGGCACCCTGCCGCAAGCTGCTCAATAGTTACCTGAGGGGTCTGGAGCTGACAATCTTCCAGTCTGACCGCGATATCTATATACCCAACTGTGACACTCGTGGTTTCTACAGGAAAAAGCAGGTAGAGTGTCTCCTGAAACAATATGAAACATATTACTGGAACTTTATTGGCTGTTATGTGATGTGAAAATGTGTCTTTGCTGCACTGACTTGGTGTTCCTGTATGTATTTCTGAGAGTGTGAGAGCTGCACTCCACTGCAGCTTTCTGTTCGGTGCATCCAGAGATTTGTCTGTGACCACAGGGGCTCCTCTCTCTGAGCCTCTCAGCTGTGAGCTCAGAGAATCAGTACTGCGCTATGATGACATATCATTTTCTCTCTTTCTCTCTCACTACCTTTCCACCACTCTCCCACTCAATCTCCGCCCTCCTTCCCTTTCAAAATCTCCCTCTCTGTCTTTTAATCTCACACAGTGCCGCTCCTCCAAGGGCATGCAGCGTGGCCACTGCTGGTGCGTGGATGAGCTCGGCACGCCCGTGCCCTCAAGTGCCAGCGAAGATGGCACTTTACCATGCGATGGGGAGTGAGGGATGAGTCTGTCCTATTGCTTTGAGCCTGGAGGAAGAGGAGAAGTTGGAGGAGGAGGAGGAGGAGGTGGTGGTGGAGGAGGAGGAGGAGGAGCACAGGGAGAGGGGGGGTGGCTTTAGCATGTGCTAAACACTGCCTGGACAGGAGGTAGCAGGGATAAACCACTTCCTATGGAAAATACACACCAGTTAACGTTGTCCGCTTTAAGCAAGACACACACACTCTCACAGTCCAGCAGCAGCAGCAACAATAACATCTGCCTGAATGTTCAACAGTTGCAGCAACGTTCTCTGCGTCGTCTGGTGACAAGCTGCATGCTCACATTAATGCTCCGTGAACTGCCTCAGTGATCCAAGCGGTATTACTCCGAATGATCTCTATATTCCCTGGCTCTTGTCCTGGCTTTCTGGTAGATTTTTATTTTACTTTTTACTTTAGGATAGCTGACACTGCCTGTGTTTGTTCTGATCTCAGTGGGCTGAAATACTGTTACGCAGGTGACGTGACACAAATGTTTGAAAAAATGTGTCTCCCTCACCGTCCTCTCTCCCTCTCTCCAAAGATACACTGATATCAAAATACCTAATTGACAGAATATTTCTTTTTTTTTTTTATTTATTTTTGAGTCTGTATTTCCATAAAGTACTGCTTGAATCTTACAGTATCTTATATATGGTGTCAAGTCAGAAAAAATAGTCATACGAATATGATCTTGGATGCTTCTGTTCATTTTATTTGTCAAAATGGCGTTCTGACTGCTTATTAGTTGATTGTTTGTACATATGTTGGAATTTTGTGGTCGACTGTGTGTTCTGAAGTGGCAGACAAAAAGCTTACGGCTGTTCCCTTTTCAAAAAGTTGTAAGGCATATTTTTATACACGTCAATATAATATTTTATATATGAATTGTTGGTTTATTTAATGAACTACAGTACAATGCCATGTATTTTTATATTGTCAGCAGTTTCTTATTTAAAGACAGAGATTATTTTATTTCATGTTAGGGGAAGTGTTGTGCTTTAAAGGCACCTTTATGGCAAAACTCATCACATTCATCAGAGCTCTATTCAACTGCTGCACATCCTTATGGTTATATCTCATGTTTTTAATTTCCTTTTTTATTTATGCTTTGTTTATTTGAGAATTGAGAATGTCCATGTTACTATTATGTTTTATGTTGGCACATCATAATACAAATTCTGATTTCAATAGAGGAAAAAAAAAAGCTCAAATTTGTTATTGTTATAGTATGTCTTTCCTTGTCCTTGCAAAAGTCATGAAATTGTGTGCTATTAAAGTGTGATTAGAATTTATCTGTTTCTGAACAATCTTGTTGTGCCAATGTGTGTGCCGTGATGATAGGTCCGTGCACAAAGGACCTGTAAGATTTGCAAATATGAAAATAAAACATAATGATAATAAAAATGGAGAAGAATTAAACATATATTAATATAACAATGGCTGTTTGGTGTTCTTTTTATAAAAAGCATTTGCAGCTCTGGTGACAGGTGGATGTAGGGTAGGGTTTGGTGCCAATCCACTGTTGCTCTCAAAGCAATACGTCTCATAGTTCTCGCGATATTTCAGTCTGGACCAAAGATGTGGACCGACAAAGAAACTGCCGGAGTGGCTAATACATGAGACCGATCTAAAACAATAACTTAATGAGACTAACACGCCAAGAATCAAAAACATCTAAATGGGCTAAAACATCAGCAGCCAGGGGAGAGAAAACATGGTCAATATGTTGAAATCACCCACCTACAGCTGATATTATAGCCTACTGCTTAAACCTGACATTTGCTGTCAGTTTTCTTAGCTTTAGACATTGGTATCTCCACAGTGGCTGAACAGATTTTTACCATTCAAACTACATTTGAAGTTCCCGTCTCCCTTTGTTCTTTTGCAATTGGAACTGCGAAGATAGCCCATACCAATCTCTTACAATGTTAGTTTATATCAAGAGACACCCATGCTGGGAACATTGGGATGAGCCCCAGTCAGCAACAAAAACAATAGCTGTTAGGTTATAAAAGGGTCTGCATTTTCTGCCCACGTATCCAGGAGATACAGGCTTTGTTTCAAAAATAAAAACCTAATTCCTTCTTTAGCTTTTTCACAAGCTGCTGAATATGGAGCGTAAATGAAAGAGTGTCATCTGGAACAAATCATAAATTAGCCTATAAGAGGAAGCGTGCTCAATCGTTTTGCCAGGACTGTGACAACCAAGATGAAGTGTGGTACTAAATCAGTTGTGGGAAGATTTTTGGAGGATGAGCACTGATGCAGTTCATAAAGGTATCTAACCCAATAACAAATACAGTGACTTCTTCACAGTCACTCTTGAAGCCTTGTGCTGAGAGTTTCTCTGAATCCTCACAAGCATATGAACACGTTACTGAGTACTACTGATTCAGAAAGCCTTGGTTTAAAGCTCTATGCTTGCTGTGCCTGTGAGAACCCCCCCCCCCCGCAGTCTCCAGCAGCGAAACAGAAATTACACATTAGACCACATTAGAGTCATGCTGGTTTTCTGCCATTACTAGGCACATAAAGGATGATATTCTCCTGCTTCGCAACACAGGGACCCAATACATGCCTGTTTCCAAGGTAACAGCATAGAATATCCCATTTGTCCATGCGTGATAGAAAATGAAGGCCTTTCAAGAAAATGAAGGAGGAAGCATGAACCTTTGTAGAGCCAGTGACATTGTCTGTCAAGTAAAAATATATCCACCTACTATCACTAAACCACTAAATAAAAATTTGTGAACTGAGTAAAAACAGCACATTTATAATTCAAAATTAACGTATAAACCACGAGTCTTGCATGCAGATAGATTGGAGAGACTCAACTCTCTGGGTCAAAGTTTAGAAAATGCCCAGATGTTAAAGCTGATTAAGTGTTAATTACTTCCATATGTATTTTACAACACATGCTTTACTTATTCTCACCCACCAAGTGAAGGACTGAAAGTCGAGCGCAAAGATCCTACACTCATCTGGTTTTTATTCATTCATTTAACGGGGATGACACATATTAATAAACATCAATATGATGTAAATGTTTCAGATTAAGCAAAAAGGCACATTTACAATGGACAGGTTGATACATTAAAAGACACAAACCATAGAAAAAGCTTTTGTGTAAAAAGAGCTTCTCACATAGGGAAATGTATGCACACTACAGTATATGAGAAACACTGCTGCGTTCATGCATATTGGAAAAATGGAATTTCTTATGCATCAACAAAACTTCAATTAGGAATAAAACAATACCCCCTGAAAATCTTGTTTTTGTTGACCTCCAGTGGTTTAGCTTCTCACCTCGCTGCAGTGTTGTAAAAGTGTACTCCCGAACGCCACAATATCACTGTTGGGTGTGGTTACAGGTGCAACCAAGCACACTTCTGACCATACTCATCAGTGATACTCTCTGTGATACTCTGTGTGATCAGAGGTGAAACAGACTTGAAGTTTTTAACCAGAGAGGCGAATGTGTGAAATCATTTATAATATGAATGTGAAATATAAAGTACAAGAAGGTAAGTTGAGTATGTAGTGTTGCTAGCAATATGCTGATTGGTTACAGGTGCTGAATATCATTAAAACTGCAGTGAACAGTATTTCTTATTTTAACAATAAATCTAATGACTCCAGGTAGTGATAAAGGTCTGGCTTTGCAGCATTAAAGGGGCAATCCACTGATTTTACACATAAAACTCATGTTAGTCCTATGGACCTGTGGAAACAGATAATTGGGCTGATTTGAGTTCCGATTTGCCCCTCCCGACAATTGCGGGGGTGTTCCTGATCCTTGGCTGGTCAGAACAGGTAGATTATTAGATCCTGTAGCGCGAGGAGTCTATAGACATAATCTTAAATTTGATGACCGGATTATTCGTTCACGCTATAAAATGAATAAACCATATTCATTCTCTCCATTCTCAGCCTCGAGTTCATCCACAGTTTTATTCTCTTTTTTTGTTTTTCTTTGCAAAACATAGCACACACAAGTGCAATTAGCTGACAATGACGGTCTGTTTATGTCTAAAGTCACATTTGATCAAGTGAGTTTCTCTGAGTTTCCAAGTCCCCGGAACTGCCACTCTGAAATCGTTTAGTATAAACACCAAGTGTGTAATTCTGTTGTCATGTCTGTGGTTTCCAAGTTTATAAAATGTATTGAGATATGAAAATTTTCCAGTGTGCACTAGGCATTGTACAATACATTTATAACCTAAGGCCTGTCTTACAATCTGGAGGTTTGGAGTTTGACCAGTCAGGGAAGGTCTAATGAATTGCTCACAGCAACTTTAATGATATTCAGCAACAGTTAACTGATTAGTGTATTGTTAACGACTCTATATACTGGACTTACTTTCTTCTACTTTACGTTGCACATTCATTTTACAAATGATTTTAATCAGGTGTCTGAATATGCTGGTCTAAAAATGTCAGGGCTGGTCTGATGAAAGACACTAATAATATTTTGTATAATTGCTGTATCGGCCCTTTCAATGGCAAAGCTAAAACAATAAAGCTAAAAAAAAATGTAGGCCCCTCTGGTCTCTGTAAGATGTCCATGTAGGTACCTCAAAGCATGATGTTGTGACTCTGTTTTGGGATCTTACTGCCCCCAAGAGGTTAAACATCTCTATGGGCATACAGTATAAAAGCAGTTGTATCACACATCTGCACACAACTGGGTTCCTTCAGCTGAAGTCGGACACACAGTCATAATATTCTTGCATGGTTTGAACCAAAGTGAGTTTATCTCTATAAGATAACTTGGGACGTTCACTAAGTTTAACCACCTGTGTTTATCTATTATTACCAATGTTACACTGTCAGTTATTATTATTATTATTTCCTTCAGTGTTGAGTGTTGGTAAGATAATTTACTTAAATAAAAGGAATAAATTGTTACTTTTACTACAATGTCAACAGTAGTACACTGTGGTATTACTAAAGTAGTGGAATAGAGGTATAAAGGTATAGTAGTAGTATGTAGAAGTAGTATGATAGTTAAGACACCCCTCTGCTTTTACACACCTGGCCCCAATAGTAGAATAAGTATTCAGATCCTTTACTTAAGTAAAAGTACCCATACAACAATGAAAAACACTCTGTATTATCAGCAAAATGTGGTTAAAGTGGCAAAGTAAAAGTATTTGATGTGCAGTAAAAGATTCCCACTAAGGATTTAGGATTGTGATGTTATTAAATTGTTAATACATGCATCAATATTCCAGCAGCATTTTACAGTTGTAGCTAGTTTTAATTGCTTTATATAGTCAGGTAGTTTAGTCCAGTGGTTCCCAACCTAGGGTTCGGGCCCCTCCAGTGTCAACAGATAAATCTGAGAGGTTGTGAGATGATTACCGTTCAGCTTTTGTCAGTTTGTTGTTTAGTATATAACTTGACCTCTTTAGGCCTCGAACAGTAGTTTATATGAAACCATCTAAAATGTTTAAGGGGTAAATCGCTCTGTTGGTGAAAATATGATAAGGAACCCAAACAAGACACTGCTTTTTTTTATAAGGGGTCACAAGCAAAAAAGGCTGGAAGGCATTGATTAAATATGTAATTTATCTAAATTTAAATAGTTATCAGCAGCTACAGCTGTCAAATAAATGTAGTGCAGTTAAATTAATACAATATTTCTTTCTGAAATGTAGTGGAGTTAAAGAACAAGTACCTCAAACTGGACTTACGTGGGCTATAGTAGGCTACTCTAGCGAATGTAATAACTTACTTTCCACCGCTGCATGGTCGCATCCTGCAGAAAAATAAATGCTGTTGCCCCGTCCGGTTTGTGGAAATACAGAATGTACACATTTGTTTTACTACAAAAATATGATTTATCATTCCAGGCAGAAAGTAGACATCTGGTAGATGAATGTGGAATTTTGCCTTTAGAAAGAAAACATTTATTACAAAGTACTTCTTTTCTTTTCTAAAAGCAAAATACCACATTTCCCACGTCAGTGCAACATCTCTGTAAATATGGTCAATGGAGAATCTGCTGAAGTTTTGCCATTAGCAGTGCTGATGTCACGGAGTTAGCGAGCTGATAATTCCGACCGTCGACACGAACATGAACGCACCATATAAGTGCAATGTACCCGCCCATCTCTGGGTCACCTGACGCGATGCTATCGGTTTTATTGGTCTCTGTCACCTGCCAATCACGAACTCACCCAGACCACGTGGTTGATAATAACACAGGTGGGCTCGAGGGGGCGGTGGTGGACTGTCTGCGATCATTTAGAAATATGTACGCTTGGATGAAGTTAAGTAATGATTCATCTCGCAGGTTCAAACGTTAAACTGTGCTTTAGAAAAACAGCGTCGGTTCAACACAACCGCAGCTCGACAGGTGACCTTTGGTTGTCGTCGCTGTGTCGGCGCGAGAGACCCGGAGAGGAGCGGTTTAAGAAACGTTAGCTTAG